TACTACGTTACAGGTTGCTACGCTGCTGAGATCTCTGTGATCGTTTACTACGTTACAGGTTGCTACGCCGTTCGTATCTCCGAGATCGTTTACTAAGGTACAACGTCTGATGCACATGATGTTTACCTGGATTTGTTAAAAATCAATAGATTTTGCATCCACTTTTTTTAACCCAAATTCAGTTATCCAAACTGATCGGAAGAGCATTTTATATTGTAAATTACATGTGATTGTGACTCTCCTGGAAGCAACCAATCAAAACGCTCGCGCGGTTTCCCTTCCGCCGGGATGTATATGTATGTCATTATATGTAATTATATGTAGTTATATGTATATGTATATGTAATTATATGTATATGTATATGTATATGTATATGTATATGGGTGTGTATTGAAGATCTCAAAAACTGCTAAACGAGATATCAGACCATATCTATATAATACTATCAGGACAAACTCACGGCTGTCGATTTTTGGTTGCTCCCAATAACGATCAAAGCCGTTTCCAAGGTGACACCCAAGTCCAAGGTCGTTGCCAGGATGTCAAGAAGATGCTTTGCAGTTGGCAACACTCAAATTGCGGATATACATGATGTACATGATGTAGATGCAGAAAAAATCGACCAAAGATACAGAAAAAATAGCACTTCTGAGGCAAAACATGCATGCATTTGCGCTGCCTCGAAGGGGTCAAGGCCGTGCGCATAGCCATTGTAGGGACCTGCTGGAAGTCCAGGCTACAATGGAAATGATATCTAACAAAATATATCAGTTATATATAGTTATAGTTATAGTTATAGTTAAAGTTATAGTTATAGTTATAGTCCAGGCTACTATTAAAATATATCTAATAGTTATAGTTATATATAAGAAATATATCCCAACTGATGGGGGTCACTAATGCATGGTTATAGTTATACCCATTAATAATATTTAATCCCAAATTCCACAGTATTGGATGCAGTACGGTTCAGTATGTTCCACGTGTTTTTTGAAACCGCTACAGTTTGGACGGTGGCTGAAATTCCAAGGTGTGGCCTATAAAAATCAAGGGCCGGTTGGGCCGGTGAAGCCACCCGTCTTGTCGCTTCAATCGCCATGTTTCTCCATATTTCATATCCGTGGAACCCATCATGTTCCGGCTGAACAAAGACTTTAATGTTTGGTGATTTTAAGGATAATTTTGGAATATCTAAAATCTTTATAGTTATCTATATATATTATAATTATTTATAAATCGTGGGTGATGTTCAACGATTTTTGTTAAACATCCCCAGCGCTGAATCTTTGAATCTGTGACCCCCAATCAACGGACTCCGCGTCGCCTCGTGGCTGCATGAACTGCGTCATTGCCTCTGAACTTTTTGGGCATATTCATGGTGGAAACCGGATAAACCCATTATAAACCCGTGATAAACCCATGATAAACTATGGGTTTCAACAAACATTCGAGTAATATGGACAAGACAATAAATGATAGAAACAAGTGGAATGCCAACAAGCAATGTGATATTTCATTTGCATTCAGGGGATTCATTCAGTGAGATGAAAACTGGGAAGTAACTTGATGTAACCAAGAAACTATGGAGATGATGTGCACAGAAACAGTCACTACTACACTTCAGAACATCATGGGGTGATACACCAGCCTGAAGCCGATCGGCGTTGAAGCCAGGGTGAGAGCCCGGAGCCTGGGTTGGCGGCTGAAGAGCTGCCAATCGAGTGCAGTTGGCTAAGCTTCAGACCAGAGGTGACTCCTTCATCACCTGGGCTCCAGGGAACATGTTCATCATAGACGCTCATGATGCTCCTCAAAATCCAACCATTTTACTGAGAGAGTATGATAGTATGTGCCTCCATTTATGGAGAATTGTCGGGAATAAAAAACCATGCCCATCAATTGGGGTCCTTGCCAGTCTCAAACGAGGCACTACTCATTTCTGGGAAGCAGATTGTTCTTTTCACGTTTCTTGATCAGGGGTCCCAAACAGTCAAGTCAAGAAAGAACATTGAGACGTTTCACAAAACTGGACCTTTGTAAGCAAGCTCATGATGAGGCCCTACCAGATATAGATGCAGTAAATGAACTGACTGTGCTTCTTGTGGCTTGTGGATAGATTCGAAGATAGATGTTGGTGAGGATTTTTGTGTTCCTTACAAGAAAGTTGGGGGCCTATCATCTTGGAGCCTCAATGGTCTTCACCGAAGCGTCTCCGGAAAGATGCCTATATAAGGGATTTTTCAGGGTTGGTTTGGTACACTAATCCTATAATTTACCTGTTGGTTGTTCAAGGGCGATGGTTTTGTTCAATATGAGTCTCGTGATATAGCTGGAACTTTATTTTGAAAACATGGATAATTTGCCCCTGTCATCAAACAGGAACCAAACTATTATGCCCAAAAAATTGATGGATGACTACTAAAAGTCACCCATTTGACTTAATTCACCACATCGTAAATACATGGATAATCTAATCACCAAATGTTGTTTGTGTATATATACTGTATAATATATATATACATATGATGCAAAAAATCTAATAATCACCAATTATACTATATAAATCTATACAAATCATTACTAAATCACAAATTTTGGACCCAAACAACTGCCCCTTTTCGCCACTGAGAGCCCTGCACTGGGCGGAGGACCAGGCGCCTTTGGTGGCCCCGGTGGGGCCATTCCCGGCGGCCCCGGTGGCCCCGGTGGCCCCGGCTTCTCGTGTGGGGAGCTGGGCAAACCCATCACGGGAGGGGCAAAGGCATCATTCGGCACCTGGGCTGCTGGGCTGATGCTGCTTCGAAGTCACTGAAGTCTCCAACGCTGACAAAGAAGCAACAAGTACCAGCAATGAAAATAGGGAATTGGAATTCTAATTTGCAAGTAAATTTGTCTACAATCGACAAAATTGATGATGCACTGAAGACATAAGATGGGCGTATAAATAAAAAGTATCGCACGAAAGAAGTGACAGAGCAAAATCTGAAGCAGACCATGCATATGCATGTATATATATATATATGTATGTATACACAGTATGTGTATATATACACATATATAATCATATATATATATATGAGTCAGTATATATATAAGTACTATACAGTATGTATATATATATGTATATATGTGTAATGATATGGATGATGTGTCTGAAAATATGGTACAACATGGTACAAGACGACAGAATCCCTGTGGTTTGTTGGTTTCATCGCCAAGGCGCCATGGACTGAAGAGATGGGACGAAGAGCACAGGAGTGGCGCAGGCCAGGAGGTTGCCCTGCGGGCTCCGTTGGGATATATAGATTTCATATGAGCTGTGAAAAAAACCACTATCCTAACTCTTTGTACTCACAAAGGTCTTTCGCGAATCCTTTCGTTTTACTTTCGCGGCCACAATGCCGGCTTTCGCGAAACCACTGCTACAACAACCCCTTTCGCGACCTTTCGCGGTGAAAGGGAAAATCGTGTAATCGTGGACATGATTCTTGGCCCGCTGAAACCTTCAGCTAGGTGGTGTTTCGTTGCGGCAAAGCTAGACTTTGGGAGCTGCTTGCTTGGCTCCACAGCTACTTTTCGACAGGGCTCTGAAAGCAATGTTGGGGATTCAGGTCTGCGGCCAGCAAAGCTCGCTGAAACCTAGAGCTAGATGTTGTTTCGCTGCGGCAAAGCTAGACTTTGGGAGCTGCTTGCTTGGCTCGATACCACACACGAGTGTCAAATTAAACTGCCAGAAACATGGGGCTTTCCAGGTGGACGGATGGACTTGGGACATTGCATCTTTCGCGGTTCTTTCGCGGATCTTTCGCGAAATTCGGCTGCCAAAAGTGGCAAGTGCAGATTCTTAATCTAAATTGAGCTCTGGCTACAGTCTTCAACGCACTTTACAACCCGAGCTGCGACACCCGACTCCCACAGCTGAGACCCAAGGCTTCCACTATACCTCCTGTGTCAACTTCCCACTGGTCCATTCCCACTGAACAAAACAAACAATTTGAAATATCTTAAACTTCTCTTTCGCGACCTTTCGCGAAGCAAATTACTTTCGCGATCTTTCGCGACCCAGCATTTCTCTTTCGCGAAAGTGATGTAGTACAACTCCCTTACATAAACAATACATTGAGGTTTTTTTCGTGGCTCATATGGGATCATATGGGATAACAGTGTTTATTATGGGATATATCTATATACATATCTGATATATCCCTATCATATGGAGGTTTTCGAAGTCATGGGGGTACCCCAATAGCTGGATGGTTTATGATGGATGGTTTATAGACACCACTCTGATATGATTTGGAGGCTTCCATAAATGGGGGTACCCCCAATAGCTGGATGGTTTATGATGGAAAATCCCAATCTAACATCGATCATTTGGGGGTACCCCCATTTTAGGAAACCTCCATACATGATATATCCATGGAACAAAAAGCCTGGCCAACAAGTCCTTTTTTTTTGTTAATATAAGTGGGCTTAGGATGTTATAGTAGTACTATTGTTCAATTACGTGAAAAACTCGCAGATACTCAGATGATCCAAGTGGCACCGATACGTTTGAACCCCTTTGTGGCACTCGGTTACCACAAATAGGTTGTAGCAACGTGGTTTTAAGTGTCAGAAATGCTCCAACCATAGCTAATCGTGGATACGCATTCAATGGGGATGCAATATGGGTAGAATAGTACAATTGTATAACAACAAACATTGAGTTGATCCAAGTAGATGTGGCCAATCTTAGATACCTTGCAAAAATCAGTGTTTGTTTGGTTTTTTTCTGGGCATAACATTCAGTAAACTAGCCCTTTAACCTACCCAACCCAGTTTACCCAGCATTCAGTCCCGCTCTCGAAAAACCTTGATATCTAATATCGTGTGCTTCAAGCCTGTACTTCTAAGATTTGTCGACTTCCTCTCAAGACAGGCCTTCAGAAATATGGCTTTGTCTACCCCAAAATCGGCCGGCTCCTCATTTTCCCCATGACCCATTAACATAGCCGTCTTGGGGCATCTCTCATATCTGGTGGAAAAGCTGTTTTTGACTGCATCGACTCCCCGACCCGAAATGTTTGGTGATTTCTGCAAGGTTGCACTCCTTTGCCTGAGAAGTCATCCTATTTTTATTCCATGATGTTCCCATCATTTACCCCCATTTCTGTTAAAACCACCAGATGTGTTGCTGTTTAAATGGATAGTCTAACCAACCACAAGCCATATTTTTCTTGGTTAAACCACCATATATCCCATATTTATCCCATATTTATCCTGGCTTATCTTCTATTTTACCGTTGAAACATCGCCACGGATCTCTGGATTTTCACTGACATCCAGATGTCCAATGGCCTGATACATCGGTGGTGCCAAGCCTGCCTTCTGTCCATTCGCCTTGCAAAGATCAAGCCATGAATTGAATGATCCTGGCAAAGAAGTTCAGTTCAATCCTTAAAATCATCTTGAACATATATATTTAACTTCAACAAGGTGAAATGTGAAGTTCTAAAATCCACATAAAACCCATATCAAATCCATATAACATCATAAAATCCATATGAAATCCATTGAAATCCACCACTTTTTCAATGGTGCCTTGAGCTCCGGCGGCCGCTCCCTCGGATCCCGCGGATCCCGCAGATCCCGTGGATCTGGCCGCGGAAGGCCAGGCTCCACCAAGCGCCCTGCCCTGCGTTTCACGGCGAAACGCCAGGTTTGGACGAAAAAACATAGGGATTCCACATGGGATAATATGGGATATATATGGGATATATATCTGATATATATATATATATATCATGGATTGTTCAAATATAATTCAAATATAGTGTTTATTATGGGATATATAGATTTAATATGGGATAATATGGGATAATCGTGTTGATTACGGGATATATAATATATCTGATATATGATATATCATGATATATCCCTATCATATGGAGTTTCCGAAGTGGGGGTACCCCCAGTTCTCATCCATTTATAGACGGGACTTTCCATGAAATAAACCATCCAGCTAAGGGGGGTAGCCCCATTCATGGAAACCTCCAAATAAAAAGAGTGGTGTCTATATTGGGTTCATTCCCCTAACAAAAATTCGTCAGAGAGATCTTCTCACCAGAAAATGGCAGTGCATCGCAACAAAAAGAGCTGTTTGGGCAAGAAAATGGCGATGCAACCACTACAAAATTGAGAACTCACCAAAAAAAATGGCCATACAAAGCATTAAAACGAGTCTTTCACAGACAAGAAAATGGGGGCTGCAACCAAAAGTCCTGGACAGGACAATGAGGGCTCGACGCTACCACCAGATTTGGAGGCTAAAAGTCCACCTTCCATACTGTTCCTTACTTCAGTTTGGCTTGCGAGCCCAACTCAGGACTGGCAGAGTTGTTTTTAAATGGCCTTATTTGATACCCGTCAAAAAAACACGACAACTGGATATGTTCGTATCTTGTACCACTGAAACGGCCCAAAGTTATTACAGTATCCAAATTTAAAGCCCATTCACCTACATTGCAAACATGTTCACAAGAAACAAAATATAGATATCCACATAATTCCAGTCGCTATTGTCACCACAAGAAATTTCTCAAAATTGGGGGCCCTTGGGGCCCTTGGGGCCCCCGTTTCACAGCGCCTCTTCATAGCGTCCAATTGATGCAGCTGCATCTCAGCTTCTCGATGATCCGCCGCGGAAAAGCCATGGACCACCCGATACCTGAGGAAGCGTCCAAGCTGGGCCGAATGGACCGAATGGTCAATGGAGGATTCAACAGCAGAACATGAGGATTTTGGATGGGACTTAAATGTTGGACTTGAATGAAATTCATCACTGGATTTGGGATGAGTTTGATGAGTTTGGGGGACAATTGTCGGATTTGTCGGGGCCACTGTGCAGATCTCTTAAAACTTCCGCTGAGACACCCAGAAAGCCTGGTGGCATGTATTGGAACTGTTCCTGTGCTGATTTTTGTTCCCTTACCAGTTGTTGATTTTTATGTTTATGGTGAGGTGATGCGTTGAGGTTGTGCTCTCCAAGTTGCTCTTCCCTGCTGTGCGCATAGGAGCACTGATGATCCTGAAGCCATCAATAACTCCATCAGGCTTCAACCATCAGCATCAAGTTATACTATTATAAACATTATTAAACATTATTAAACACCAGGACACCAGGAACCATCTCAAAAGTTCGGAAGCCTTGCTGCAACTGTTTTTTTTCAAATACAACAATCTCCATTGATTTCCCATCCCCAAGGCGTCCCGAGTCGGGGGCTCCTCACAAAGCCCAGTCTGCAGCAGTTGTTTGCAGATCTTCGTACGCGCCAAGTCTGGTAGAGTCTGCAACTCACCTGCCACATGGCAAAGAAGAAGTTCCAGGTCAAAATGAGGCTGAATATTACTTGGTATGTACAATTATATATGAATATTGTGTACAGTATCTCAGTATACTATACGTATGATTGCGTATGTGTAAACATGCAAATGATTTGTGCGGTGGATGGTCTTGG